ACGAATGAACACCCTTTAGCCTTTTAGCCATTGCTTGGACTTTCCCCATTCCCATTACCTGGACTACCAACACACAGGTATGGGTTAAGCAATGGCCACTAAAACGGGAAAGTCTGTTTCATGCTCATCAATTGGTCAAGGAGCAATTTCAACAAAGTCATTTACGTTTGTCCACTAGTCCATAAAACTCTCCAATATTTGTTATAAAGAAGAAATCGGGTAAATATCGATTGTTACATGATCTGAGAAAGATTAATAATCAGATGGAACCGATGAGTGCCTTACAACCAGGGCTGCCTAATCCAGCCATGATTCCTAAGCATCGGTCCCTACTAATCAGGAGCAATTTCAACAAAGTCATTTACGTTTGTCCACTAGTCCATAAAACTCTCCAATATTTGTTATAAAGAAGAAATCGGGTAAATATCGATTGTTACATGATCTGAGAAAGATTAATAATCAGATGGAACCGATGAGTGCCTTACAACCAGGGCTGCCTAATCCAGCCATGATTCCTAAGCATCGGTCCCTACTAATCATTGATTTGAAGGACTGTTTCTTTACCATCGACCTGCACCCTCAGGATCGGAAGCGATTTGCGTTCACTTTGCCCTCCCTTAACAGAGAGGGTCCGGATCAACGGTTTGAATGGACAGTGTTGCCACAGGGCATGCGTAACAGCCCTACGTTATGTCAGCTGTATGTAGCTGCGGCATTGCAGCCCCTACGGGAACAATGGAGACATGTTGTAATTTATCATTACATGGATGACATACTCTTTGCCCAAGCTACCCCCTTTTCTGACAGGCAGATTGGACATGTCCAACGGGTGTTGCAATGTTCTAATCTGGTAATTTCCTCAGATAAGGTTCAACAGTCGTCACCATGGAAGTATCTAGGCTGGGTACTTACTGATAAAACTGTATCCCCTCAGAAATTGCAGTTACAATCGCGACTACGGACTCTTAATGATGCACAAAGATTTTTAGGGGACTTGCAGTGGCTACGGCCTATAGTGGGTATACCAAATGAACTGTTAGAAGGACTTCGCCCGTTATTGAAGGGCACGAACCCTACGTCAAAGCTTAGAATTACCCCTTACCAGAAAGATCTTATACAGCAGATTGTGGAACGCGCTGTTACAGGACATGTACATCGACTCGATGCTACTGTTCCGATCAATCTTGCTGTGTGGTTAGGACACCGATACCTGATTGGAGCTCTCATGCAATTAAAGAAAACCGGGGAATTGGGTATTCTTGAATGGGTATCCCCCGCCTTACAGCAGGCTAAAACCTTGGTACAACAAGTGGAAATTTTGGCGGATTTGATAAAACGAGGACGAGAAAGAATTTTACAAGTTCAAGGCTGTGAGCCTTCCACGATATGTTTACCCATGCAAAAGAAGGACTCTTTACAATGGTATTTACAGAATAGTGAACATTTGCAAGAGGCGCTGCTTGGTGCCGGTTCTGTGATTGAAACTAATAGTTTTAAGTCTCCATTATTACGATGGATCGGACAATGGAACTGGATGACATGCCCGAAGAGAGAAAAGAACCCTATAAAGGACGCGGTAACAGCATATACTGATGCAGGGCGTAAATCGCGTCGGGCTGCCATTACATGGCAAGACAACGGCTCATGGAAACAGGAATTGTTATACGCAGGACAGGAGGATACTCTACAAACCATGGAATTGACTGCTGTCATTTGGGCCATGATGAACTTGACAGGACCTCTAAATATTGTAACTGACTCACTCTATGTAACCGGCATTGTTGAGCGAATCGAGGATGCATTCATCAAAGAAGTCCAAAATAAGTGGTTACATGAGCTTTTTATCCAACTCAGAAAGGCAGTGAAGCTCAGAGAAAATTCCTATTCCATAATCCATATACGAAGTCATAAATGGGATATTGGGCTTGGAGTGGGTAACTATAGGGCGGATAGGCTAGTCTCTGTTCTCCCTGCTGTTCCCATTGCAAAAACTGTGTTAGCCAGAGAGGCCCATTCGGTCTTCCATCAAAACGCTAAAGGTCTGCACGTGGAATTTGGGATCTCCATGGTGGAGGCATGTAGTATTGTTCGAGCTTGCCCAATCTGTAGTAATCATAATGGAGGTTGTGCATTAGGAGTGGGAGTTAATCCCAGAGGGCTTGTCTCAAACGACCTTTGGCAAATGGATGTTACTTATGTCTCTTCTTTTGGACGTTTAAAATATGTGCATGTAGCTATTGATACATATAGTAAACTCATTTGGGCAACAGCACAAGTTGGGGAGAAAGTATTACACGTCGAAAGACATTTGCTTAGTTGTTTTGCTGTCATGGGAGTACCGAAGCAATTAAAGACGGACAATGGTCCCGCTTATACTAGTCACAGGATGGGTAAATTTTTGAAAATGTGGGGAGTGAGACATGTTACGGGAATTCCTCACTCCCCTACAGGACAAGCTATAGTGGAACGGGCACATAATACCCTAAAACAGCATTTGGCGCACCATGCGGAAATTGCGGATCCGCATTCAAGATTGTTGAAAACCTTATTCGTAATTAACCATTTGTGTGTTTTTGGAGATGCAAAGTATCCACCCGTAGTTGTTCATACTAACGCTTCATCGGAATGTCAAGATACTAGTACCATATGGGTACGGTATAAGGATCCTAAGACAGGAATGTGGCAAACACCAGCAAAAGTCTTATTTTGGGGGAGGGGTTATCTTTGTGTTTCTGCTCCTACAGGACCACTTTGGGTACCCGCGAAGTGGACAAAACCTGCGTTTAACCACCCCACTCCTGCGAATAGCCCGGCTGACACTCCGGAGACGAGAGGCGCTGGTTGATCGAATAGTACCAATGTGGTTCCAGTGCTATTGTATATTACTGCTGCACGCTATCAGCTTTGCTCTATACCTTAACTCCCCCCCGAATTTATGGGTAACGTGGGCCACTAAGACACATACCACTTCCTTCTGCCTGGCCTTGGCCTCCGCCACTGATCCCTTCCGGACATGCTTAGTCGGGTTACCCGGATATAATGCATCCGACTTCACGAAATTGTCCACCGCCACTTGTGGAGGACAGTCTGATAACAGTAAATGTACAGCCAAATTATTAGCTGCATTAAACAAAACATTACCTTGGGATCCTCAAGAAATCAGGCTTTTAGGTAGCAGAATGCTAAATAGCTCAGCAAATGAGTCAGGATGTGTTGAGCTAGGTGATTACAGACAAAACGTAAATGATCCCACATTTTGGCTTACACCCAGGAGTTACCCCTTCTGGAACAAAACGTATATGTGTGGTGCTTATAGGACCTATGGTTGGGGAAGAAACGACATAAAGATTTGGGTTAATGACAGCGCGAAGGCATTGCCTAGCAATACCTATTTGATTTGCGGTGATCGAGCCTGGCAAGGAATACCTAGGTATGCTCACGGTGGTCCATGTTATCTGGGAAAATTGACTCTTTTTATACCAAATGTTACTGTAATGTCACAATTCCTTTTAAATAAGACACGCCGCGATAAGCGAGCTATAGCAACCCTCACACCTGATTGTAACGATCAAGTAGAACTCTGGGAACCCACAGCTAATCTTTTTGCGTCTATTGTTCCCGGAGCGGGTGCCGCTCACGCGCTTCAAACTATAAGTAAGCTTGCTTGCTGGATGGTAAAACAATCCAATGTAACGACTCAAATACTTAGTGAACTAACACAGGATATGGAAAATCTGCGACATCAGATCCTTCAGAATAGGGCTGCCATTGATTTTTTGCTATTAGCCCACGGGCATAATTGTAAGGATTTCGAAAGTATGTGCTGCTTTAATCTTTCCTCCAATTCAGAATCAATTCACAAACAACTGCAATGGCTTAAGGATCATACCAAAGACATTAAAGTCTCCACTAACCCACTCGATATTTGGCTATCATCCTTTGGCATTGGTCCGTGGTTTAAAACCATAATCATGTATGGCATAAACATAGGACTTATGCTGCTGCTACTCCTGTCGATATTACCTTGTGTATTCGCTTGCCTCCAAAAAATGCTTATTCGATTGCTGAATAAAATGCAGATTAACTATGTCCTACTAAGAGAAGAAGGGGGAAATGTGGGAAGTCTCACTGCAAGATGGCTACATGCCAGAGGGCAATAAGAAGCACGCGAAATTCGTGTCTGAGGAAGTGCTTGAAGAAGTGGATGTGAAACGAGGGTCAAATACTAAATCAACACAAACGAAGCTGTAAATAACTGACTGCGGTTAAGAAGGGCTCATGTACGTTAACACGAGGGTAACTGTTTTGCAAGATAAGCACTAAATTGTATCAAACCTATAAGGAGCCTGGCTGTTGCAATATGTATGAGCTAATTAACTCTGTTATATAAGTCATAAGAGTGCGCAAATAAACTGAGGCTTGTGATCATCATAGGATGTGCTTGTCTCCCATTGTCTCCGACACCCGTGGAGGCAGCAGCGGTGCAAAAGAGGCAAAGCAGGTGCTTGCAGCTGGCTGCAGCACCCTTACCTTTCCACTCCCAGCATGCACACAGTAGCAGTTACAAAAAACTCCAACAGACAAACTAGGAGCCTGAGAGCTGTGGGCAACTTCATGCGCGCTCAGACTAAAATCTTAGCTCTGAACCCAGTTAAAGCGTAGTCCTGATTTTGAGGAAAGCCTCCAAGCTGCATCGAGTTTGCAGACAACATCTGCAACAAAGGTAACTGCAGCTATAAAGAGAAGCTCAGCAGCCTCCTCTTTAGGTACCTTAATGGTCTCCTCAGCAACAAAACCGTTGAGTGCAGAAGCAGTGACAGCTGGGTGTAGATGGACACCAATGCTAGGCTGTGAAGATGGAAAGAAGCAAGATAAGTAAAGGCTGGACACAGAGTTCACCTACTCAGATAGAGACCACCCTGCAAAGTCTCTCTCCTGCCCAGGGGATGTCCTTCTCCAGCACCTCATTCCCCTGCTGCCTCTTCAAAGCATAACAATTTTATTTGGCAATGGGCAAGGTACAAGAATTAGCTGCCTTCTCCCTACCAGCTCCGCACTTATGCTGGAGCACAGACTGGGAAGGCTGTGCTCTCCTCTTTGCAAAACATGTCTTCTGCCAGCTTGAAGTAACCCTGCTGAGATTCTCTTTCCTCTATTTTTACGGTTTCACAGCAACTAACTAGAGTTCAAGTTTGGATTTCTTGGCTGTGGAAGTCAAGGTCAGAAGGTGAGTCAGCAGCTAAGTACCTCAACTTGCAAACAGATTGCTGTTTGAATTCAAACAGCTTGATATTGTCACTTCTAATTTCAGTACCAGGTTTGAGAGTAGCAGCTACCAAGTCTGGTGCTGCACCTGGGGCCTGGAACGTACGTAAAGGAGGAAGAATGAGCTGCTCTGAAATGAGCTAAGGAGTTCAAAAAAGCTGATAGGATTTTATTGAAGGTCGAAATACAAAAAGGTCAGATTGTCTCCCACCTGCTCAGTATTCTTCCCATCCAGCATATCATAATGAAATATCAGTATTCACAGCGACAGCTCCAGCCAAACCACAATACTGTTAGTCCCAACCATGGCCTCCCAACACCCCGAGAACCAGCCCATTTAAAGCCTTGCATGTTTCTGATATCTCAGCTTTGAACTTGGAGGCCAAGTTAAGTCTTTTCCTGGACAAGGATCAGTCTCTAGACAACATGAGGCTAACCGACCTGATGGTCTCTGAAGAATGCTCTGAACCGTGGCTCTTGAAAGCTTAAGCTGAATCCTAAGAATGGGCACTCCAAACCTGCAATTCCCAGACTGTGGGATGGGTATCACTATCAGCACACCAAGTCATTTGAGTGTGGTACACAGATGGGAACTCAGATTGCTACTAGGCATATTCTCGTCATCCTGCTGTCGGTTATGCCCTGCCTACGAGATCCCTGCTCCAAAACTAAGCTGCCTACGTCTTCGTTACTGATCTCAGAGGAGCAGAAGCAAGAGAGTAGCAAAGGCAATTCTCTCATCCTTCACAGCGGCATCACTTCAGGCTTCCAGCAGAGGTCAGAGCTCGTTCCCCAAGCTGAACTTCAGAGCCTGGTACAGCACATCTCCTGACAAGCAAGAAACACTGCACAGGTGTCAGCTCTGGGTTTGGTGCTGCTAAGGCATAAAAGGCCATACATTCTCCTCCATCTCAGCCCACTAATATGGCTGAGTACACAACATCTTCTGTTCCCACTGGACCTCTGACCTGAAACCACCAGTAATGGGAAACAGAAAAGTCAGTTATGGTGGGGTTCCTTGCCAGATGTAGACGTCTGCCTAAATCCGCACTAGGATTAAACCACCCCAAAAACCACATCCTTGCATCAGGGCAGCTATTATCTGCTAACTGTCTACCGGGGTACTTCGCACAAGTATTTCACTGCAGCATTTAAGCACTAACTTGCAGCAGTGATTTAAAAAGTGGGATCAGTGGAAGCTGTTAGTCTAGTGATTAAAAGCTTTGTACTCCATTCGTAACCAGACAAATTGTCTCCCCTCTGACCGTAGGCTCTGGGGAAGGTTAGGATTAAGCCTCTGCCCTTGTTTCTAAAGGCAGTATGTTTGCTCAGCTGCTAGAGCGCAGCACTACGAGTGTGTTATTCCCATAGCACAAACCTTCTATTGTCCAAGGCTTCCACTCCCCACCCTGTGCAACTTAGTACTTACGACGATGGCAAAAGAAGCCTATTCCAAGCAGATCTGTAATCCTGGCCAGCTGCTGAGGGCACTAGTCAGGATGGGTGACCACACATGGCTCCAGCCACCACCTACATTGAGCCGAAGAGCTTAGGAGAAGGGGCATCCTACCCAGCGCCATCTGATAAAAAGAGGAGCAGCTCTTTTTTTCCAAAAGTCTCAGCTGCAGCACTCTATTGTCCAAAGCCCACTGCCAGCCCATGAGGCAGCTGTGGCAGCACCTGCATGGAGAGTCTGCACACCACCCAGAGAGTGGATCTGGCAGGAATGGCCAGTGGCTGCAATGTTCATTCAGCAATCTAGGAAGCAAGCTTCAGCTTCCTCTTTTTCTCTCTAAGGCTTCTCCTTTTGGATCAAGATGATGGTTTGGAAGCCTGTTACCTCTTCTCCATCTTCTGCATCTGCAGGCTGAGCGACGTGAAGCTGGCCAGGAGGTCTGTAACCTCATCCACCTGCCAGAAAAACGAAGTTGGCCATTAGGCAGGGGAAAGTAGTTGTGCAGCTGTCCACCACCAGAGCCTCAACCCCCATATAGCAGAGCCAGCAGGATTACTGACAGTGCTCACAATGAGCTTACGCTAGGACAAGATCACCCCAATCACCCCAGTCTTCAAAAAGGGCAAGAAGGAGGACCCAGGAACTACAGAGCCAGTCAGCCTCACCTCAGTCCCTGGAAAGGTGATGCAACAGCTCATCCTGGAGGCCATCTCTAAGCATTTGGAGGACAAGAAGGGGATCAGGAGTAGTCAGCATGGATTCACCAAAGGGAAATCATGCTTGACCAACCTGATTGCCTTCTATGATAGGACAACTGGCTGGATAGATGAGGGGAGAGCAGTGGATGTTGTCTACCTGGACTTCAGCAACGCTTTTGACACTGTCTCCCATCACATCCTCATAGGCAAGCTGAGGAAGTGTGGGTTGGATGAGTGGACGGTGAGGTGGATTGAGAACTGGCTAGATGGCAGAGTTCAGAGGGTTGTGGTCAGTGGTGCGGAGTCTAGTTGGAGGCCTGTAGCTAGTGGTGTCCCCCAGGGGTCAATGACTTGGATGAAGGGACAGAGTGCCTCCTCAGCAAGTTTTCTGAGGATACAAAACTGGGAGGAGTGGCTGATACACCAGAGGGCTGGGCTGCTATTCAGAAGGATCTCGACAGGCTGGAGAGATGGGCGGAGAGGAACCTCCTGAAGTTCAATAAAGGCAAGTGCAAAGTCCTGTACCTGGGGAGGAATAACCCCATGCACCAGTATAAGTTAGGGGTTGACCTGCTGGAAAGCAGCTCTGCCGAGAAGGACCTGGGAGTCCTGGTGGACAACAAGTTGACCATGAGCCAGCAACGTGCCCTTGTGGCCAAGAAGGCCTGGGCTGCATTGGGAAGAGCATTGCCAGCAGGTCGAGGGAGGTGATCCTCCCCCTCTACTCAGTCCTGGTGAGGCCTCATCTGGAGCACTGTGTCCAGTTTTGGGCTCCCCAGTGCAAGAGAGACATGGCACTGCTAGAGAGAGTCCAGCAAAGGGCTACAAAGATGATGAGGGGGCTGGAGCATCTCTCCTCTGAAGAAAGGTTGAGAGAGCTGGGGCTGTGTAGCCTGGAGAAGAGAAGGCTCAGGGGGGATCTGATCAATGCGTACAAGTATCTGAAGGGAGGCTGTCAAGAGGATGGGGCCAGACTCTTCTCTGTGGTGCCCAACGACAGGACGAGAGGCAATGGGCACAAAGCAAAACACAGGAAGTGCCGCCTGAACATCCGGAAAGACTTCTTTCCTGGGAGGGTGACTGAGCACTGGAACAGGTTGCCCAGAGAGGTTGTGGAGTCTCCTTCCCTGGAGATATTCAAAAGCTGTCTGCACATAATCCTGGGCACTGTGCTCTAGGCGACCATCCTTGAGCAGGGGGGTTGGACTAGATGAGCTCCAGAGGTCCCTTCCAATCTCAACCATTCTGCGATTCTGTGAAGATCCCTTCATTCTACAATCACGTAGGAGGGCTCCTGTCCTCCTGCTCAAGCAGGTCCTGATCTGAAGGCAAGGGAAGCTTCCCCCCCTTCCTCAGAATGTCAGTGCTTGACCTCCACCTTACACAACCTAGTCAGACCTTAAAATAGAAACATGCTGCTGCATTACGCAGAACTTAACACTGGTATCAAGGCTGCTTCCTCTCAGCCTGTTATTGAGGGCCAACCTTGCGTAGCAAAAACCAGGCCAGATTCCAATGGCCCTGCAATCCTGGGGCTGTGCTGCTTCCTGGCCTTGAAATGCCTGAGCCTCCTCCCCTTTGATCTCCAGCTTCTCCGCTGAGCATACTACCCACAGTGATGCTCTCCACATTCTGAATTCCAGCCCAAAGGAGTACCACAAGTCATCACATAACTTGGCTGCTTTAGCCCATGTGAGCAAGAACACATCCATAAGTTTGTCTTCAATGTCACCTTGCTCAAGCAGTTGAATTCTCCTGAATACAAAAGCCACAACACAAGTAGGGGAGTCATAGTAACTCAGTGCTGCCTACCTGCTCCTTTGTGCTGGTCATCTGTAACTTGGAGCAGAGGTCATCCAGCTGTTCCTTTTGCTCATGCCTCCCCAGACGCTCCAGGTATTCCCTCAACATCTGGATAATCTGGAACAAACAGGCATTAAAGGGCAAACATCAGACAGCTGTACCAGGGCGCGATGTTTCTACGAAAGCAGCAGCCAAACTACTGCCAAACACAGCCTGGTGGTGTGGCTGAGTACATGACCCCAAGAGAAGAACGTGTGCAAAGCAAGTGGCCAGCACCACTGGCGGCAGCAGAGCCAGTGAGTCACCAGAAGAGCTGATCAGCCGCAAACAGACTGGTCATGATCCTGTGTCTGGTTCAAGAACGGGTAAGAGAGACAAGCCTAGCTGGTGAAGCACAAGTTTTAGGATTGCCTTGAAAGCACCAGGCTTTTCTTCATGGCCAGCTAGCTTCTCTCACTGTCAGTAGCAGGGATTTCCTGCTCCATCCGGATCTGCTTCTGCTCTAAGGATGGAAATCAGACAGATGGCTCCTAGAGTGAGGCCCACACCTTGTGCATTTGTGATGCAGCACCACAGCCTGCTCCCATACTAGAAAGAACAGGGCAGCCTGCCCTGGGATTGGGCAGCCGGGAATGCCCCAGGAAGCATGTGTCCCCACTGGAACACATAACTACAACTTCATGCTGCCGTCCCTCTCCTGTCACAAGCAGTCTGTCTTACACGGTGGTTGAAGAAACAGTGGTCCGTAACAGCCTGAGAAGAAAGACATTCAATGCATCCTTGGCCTACCGTGGCCAAGAGAGGTCCTGCAAAAATTCAAAGTAGTGGTTGGAAAAAGAGAGGGTCTCTGAAAACAGAAGGAAAAAGTCAAGCTTTCCCCAAGGCAGCTAAAAGCCTAGGGACAGGTATTTAAAACAGCTGCTAAACACTAATTGACCTAAAGGGTGCAGGAGTTTGCCAGCAGCTGCACCACCTTAGCAGAACATGAGTGTTTCTTTTACCTGTTTCACTTCAAGACGTACAGCCTCCAGGCTGTGGGAGAGTCCTTCCTGCAGGATGTTAAGCTTTGATTTAGCCAGGTGCAGCGGGGTTCTGCCAGCTCGATCCAAGGCATCAACTCTGGCCCCTGAAAATGCATGAGCAAGGCAAAGAAAGAGAAGTCTGTCTAAAAGACTTAGCGTCCCTGGGGAATACCAACAGGGGCAGGGCCGGGAAGGGACAGGCCATAATCGTTAAAGAGGAAGTGTTACCTCCGCGCAGCAGCGTGGTGATGACAGGAACATGGTTCGTGCAGGCAGCTGGGGAGGGAAAACACAAGACACAACTCAGAGCGGTGCTAGCCCAAAACAAAGGAGTTTCTGCTCCAATGTGAAGTCGCAAAGGGCTCTTTGTCATGGGAAAGAGGAACAGCTCAACTGCTAAGGGTAACCCTGTGGGCTCAAGCCTGGGTACTCTCTCTGGAACAGGTTTATTGTTCCTTGGGGCTGGCAGAGGGAGGGAAACGGATTTTCCCTAACTCTGACCCTTAACCCTTCACGAGGAGTAAAGCTAATTAAATCCAAAGAGCCTCGCCTAAGTCTTTAAAGCTGGGGGTGGACGATGGAAGGAAAGGACGATGCAGAGGAAGGAAACAGCAGGGCAGTGTTCGCCTTTGTGCATGCAAAGCTCACCTGCATGGCACTTACCCAAATGTAAGGGAGTGTTTCCCAGTCCATCTCTCTGATTTGGGTCAGCCCCATGGTCCAGAAGCAATTGCACTGGAAACAATGACACAGAGCCATGACAGTTCCTTCCCTTTGCCCAACAGGTCAGGGCCCACAGGCTGCAGTCCCTGATACCCACACCTCAGTGGTGTAAGAAGCCTTGTTTGGCAGCGCACAACTGTGCCACAGGTCCACATAGCAGCCAGCAGGCTGCACCAGGGATGCTTCTATTCAACTTAACAGCTTCCTCCCACAGACAAGGAACAGAGGTTTGGGCAGAAAATACAGAAGAAAATAGGACATATCTAGGAAGTACCATTGCCACTGGGCTCCCTGAGTGGAGGAACTGGTACTGAGGACATCCTTCCTTCTACACCAGTACAGCCCTAGAGCTGGAAGCTGAGGCTGCTCCCACCTCAGCAGCAGGACTTGATGAGTCCCAGAGCTGGGACTCATCACAGCTGGGAGCTTTATCACAGAAGACAAGGAATATAGCACTGTCACATGCTGAATCAAAATAAAGCATTTTGTCTGAAATCTCTGCCATGGAAAAGTCGTATCACAGATCACACCCTCCCCACTCACCAATGTGATCATTGCCATTGCAGGAGGCAAAGTGCAGGGCCGTCCGGCCTTTGTCGTCCGCAGCACAGGGGTCAGTTCCATCCTCCAAGAGTTGCTGCACTGACAGCACCAAAGAAAAGAGGAAAGCATGTAAGTTGAAGGAGCACCTAATTAGAAAGGGGTGATGCTACCGCTCATCTGCACATATATACATACTCTGCCAGCTGTCAAGCAACTCAACTTGAGCCAGCTCCTGCAGGCATCCTGCCTGAGCAAAACCAGCCTGGACAACGTACTACTCTCCACCATCAGTGGGACCCTGTTACAGCTCTCATCAGCTTGCACACACTACAATAAAACACAAGCCAACAGCTGTAACGGCTAAGGCTGAAGATCTATCTAACCAAGCATTCAGGCTCCAAGAACAATCAGTAGCAAACGTCTACAGAAGAGGATAAGAAGAGTGCATGCATGTGGGGCTATCTCTCACAGCCTTTAGTCATCTGCATCTCAGGCACTTCCCAAGACAGAATTAAAATTCTGTACTTAACAGCCCTCAACAGCTTTTCTCCTTGTATTTTTCTGTGTAAACTTTTTACATCGATGCGTACCTCTGGTGAGGAGGTACAGTGTAACTCCATCCTGTGAGAAAAACCACCTCCTCTTGTCTGTTTTGAATATGCCACTTCCTGGTTTCATCTGAAACCCCAAGGGTTTTTTTTTTCCATAATGGTGACTACTGAGTGGGAGGCAGGCAGGTGAGTATACTGACCTGCAAATAGCAGTGCAAACATTTCCAGGGGAACGAGCTATTCAAGTGAGCCAGTGAACAGCCCGACTAGCCCTGTCTAGAACCTCTAGCATCACTGTCGCTCATTTGTTCCCCCGATCTTCCACCCAGCTGCTTCTTCAATGCCACCATGAGCCATGCTTGTAATCAGAGCTGCCTCTCTTTCTCAGATAAGAAGGAAAAACCTGCTTGTGCAAAGGCAGAGGAACCAGTGTGGCTCTCTAGCATTGGATATTACAGAGGCAAAGAGACTAGTAAGGTCTGAAAAGCTCAGGGACTTTCATATAACTAAGAGTAGCATCTACACCAACATGTGCAAGGGCAACTGTAAGGGCTATTGTTCCTGATGTTTTGAGATTATCCTGATATGGCAATCAGTGTGCAAAGTAAAGTTCTTCCTGTAGCTGTCAAAAATACTGACGGATTTGCTATATTTTGAGATCTTTATAGCATATCCAGTAGCAGTCAGAGCTGGCCAGTGTTAGAGAGAGATACTAGATAGCTCAGACAACTGAAAGTTACCATTCTCCTTAGTTTCCAGAGCTGGAATCACGGTCACATTTGAATTTCTTCCTCTATGCCTACAGCAAGGATCATCTTTAAATGTCGTATGGAAGTGAAAGTAACATCTGAAAAGATGGAAGTGGCTTAAAGGGGAAGTTTGATACCCTAGACAGAAGACAGGGATAGAGACTGACAGTCCCACCAGAGGGAACCATTAATGGGGAACGCTTTAACACAGCAGGAAACGACATGACCTCTCCCACCCTCACCAACTTAGTAGTGAAGATTTGGTGTCACTACACAAAAGAACAAAGAGTTTTACTTGTCAACGAATAATAAATTCATTATCAAACAATTCTTCAAGTTGTTGAGTAGACAAAACACAGCTGGATTATTAGCAGGGGAATCTGTATATCACAGATCTATCTAAGATGATAGAAACAAAAAATTTCTCTCAGTCTTCCTCTTGACTCAGTGACTGATGCCATGTCATCATGTACTTCCTGTACCGACCAGAGCTCAAAGCTGACTGATCTGTCAGTTCACAAAACAAAGTGTTTGACAGCATGGCTGGCTCTGTGCGTTCTCACTCCTCTTGCCTGTTTTTGTCCCCTCAATACCCCAGCAGAAACAGAGAGGGAAGGTGAGCTGGAGGGTGAAGCATGCCAGACAACCCAAATGTCCTGATATAATAGGAGTTTCTACAAGTCAAATCATTTTCCGATTGGTTTCACAGCAGGAACAGTTAGGCCAGCATAACTAAGGGAACAGCACAGCCCAGGAGGAACAACATAAGAGGCCGACACTATAAGATTATACTGCCACTGAATGCTTTGTATCATAATCCAACTATCTAACGATCTATAATGTAAAAGTCTCACAGAGGCCTTGTCTGAAGCCAGTGTGAGAGGCAAACAAAGAGGCTAGTGCTGATTCTTGTTATGATCTGCTGGGCCACACTATCTCAACATACTGGGTATGGCTTGTAAAACCGTAACTTTCCCTTCTTCCAAAAATAATACTTTTTTGCTGCTTACAGTAGGGTAGAAGTTATATACCAAAAGAGCTAGAATTAAAGTGGAGTGCTAATTTAGGGCAATCAGACAACTAACACTATGAACCAGACACAGCAAAAAAGTGAATGTTACAATCAGCTTCACTCTGCTCAGAGAATGAAACAAGACTCCAAAAACGCTGTTTCTAGATTTGCAGCATCCAAAGTACCATTTCTAAAAACTACCTGTGCCTCTCTCCTCCTCTCCTAAAATAGAGACCTTTGACAAAATTCCTCTTCCAGCACAAAAGGTGGAGTACGATTGGCCGAAGTCTCACCTGTGTCCGAGTCATTGCCATTGGCAGCTTCGCGCAGCCTTTTCAGAGCTAGGGAGAAAAGAAAGCAATTACTGGGAAATGCAGAGGGAAAAGGAGCGCTTCCTTACTGAAACATCCCCGTTTTCTCCTGAGGCTGGCCGTGAGCTTCTCGCTCCTGACAGGACCCCTTGCTACAGGGGTGCCTTCCCAAGCCCCTCAGCATG